CTTTGCTTAACCATTCTTTTTTTCAAATGTATATTCATAGGCCTCAATATGTAAATATCAGAATTTGATTTCAACTCTAGGTCATCTGACTTCAAAGGCCCTATAATCTTTCACTAGGCAATGCAACACAGTATTGTACTTTATTGAATTTAAGGTGACTGTGGTAGTTAAGTTTGTATGTCAACTTGGCTGGGCCTGGTTGAGTGGCTGGGCAGCTGGATGTAGCATTCCCCATGATGAGACTGGTAATCAACTCCATGGTGGAATCTACTGTGAGCAGCTGAGTAGCTGCCTTAGAGATATGGTCTGTTTCCTGTATACAAGGAGAAGTCTTGGGGAATGGTCTCTAGCTTTTGGCACACTTGAACCCTGCATGTAGCCATGTCATTTTTCAGCAGCCTGCCATACTCTGCCAATCTTGGGACTCTCAATGGACTTGAATTAATGGCCTGCTGTGTGGTTTGGTTATATTGGAACTCTGCCTTATTATTTGTCAACCCTAGGCTTGTCAGCCTCAGCAGCCAGAAGCTGAGTGCAGAAAAGCCTTCAGCTTCAGTGGGCTGGCAGCAGGAGTCAGAGCTTAAGCCCAAGGTTGAGGGGCTTTCACCCAGCCCCTAGAGCCTGGCACTTGGAACTCAGACTTAAAGCCTCCAAAATTATAAAAGAATAGAATCCTTTTTGTTAAAGCCATCCCATTTGTGGTATATTCCTGTTAGACCAGCACTGGGTAACCAAACAGTGACCATGAAACAAAAAAAAATACATAGATGACTGAGCTATTTGAAAAATGTGCGCTTGTTTAAGAAGGAAGGAGTGAAGGTAAAACCTTAAATATACAAATACTATAGACATTTTCCATCACTCTTTGGTCAGTTTGTCATGCTGTGGTGGCTTGCAAGTTGCTGTGATGCTGGAAGCTATGCCACTGGTATTTCAAATAACAGAGTTACTTATAGTGGACAGGTTTCAGCCATGCTTCCAGACTAAGAAGAACTGGACTACCTACTTCTAAAAAACTGGTTAGTGGAAACATTATGAATAGCAGAGGAACACTGTTGATATAGTGCTGGAGGATGAGCCCCTCAATTTCGAAGGTACTCAAAATGCACTAGGGAAGAGCTGCCTCCTCAAAGTAGAGTCAACCTTAACGAAGTGGATGGAGTAAAGCTTTTGGGATGATCATTTCCTGATGTGGCATGACCCCAAATGAGAAAAAACAAAACAAAACAAAAACAGCTACAAATATCCATTAATAATTGGAACATGGAATGTATGCAGTATGAATCTAGGAAAACTGGAAGTTGCCAAAGGTAAAATGGAATGTATAAATATTGAGATCCTACGTTTTAGTAAGCTGAAATGGACTGGTATTATTAGCCATTTTGAACTGGACAGTCATATGGTCTACTATGCCAGGAATGACAAATTGAAGAGGAATGGCATCACATTCATTATCGAAAAGAACATTTCAAGATCTATCCTGAGATACAGTGCTGTCTGTAGTAGGATAATATCCATATGCCTATAAGGAACCAGTTAATATGATTATTATTAAAATTTATGCACCAAACACTAATATCAAAGGTAAAGGAATTGAATATTTTTACCAACTTCCTGCAGTCTGAAATTGATCAAACATGCAATCAAGATGCAGTGATAATCACCAATGATTGGAGTGTAAAAGATGAAAACAAAAAAGGATCAGTAGCTGGCAAATATGATCTTGGTGATAGAAACAACACTGGATAATGAACGACAGAATTTACAAGAACAACGACCTATTCATTGCAAATACAACATCAGCGGCAACTATGCACATTGTCTTCACCAGATGGAATACACAGGAATCATATTGACTACATCTGTGGAAAGAGACAGTTGAGAAGCTCAACATCATCAGTCAGAACAAAGCCAGGGACTAACTGGAACAGACCATCAATTGCTCATATAGTTGAAGCTGAAGAAAATTAAAACAAGTCAATGAGAGGCAAAATTTGACTTTGAGTATATCCTGCCTGAATTTTGAGACCATGTCAAGAGCAAATTTGACACATTGAACACTAATTACCAAAGACCAGACAAGTTGTGGGATGACATCAAAGACATTATACATGAAGAAAGCAAAAGGTAATTAAAAAGACAGGAAAGAAAGAAAAGACAAAATTGGATGTCAGAAGAGACTCTGAAACTTGCTCTTGAACATAGAGCAGCTAAATTGAATGAAAGAAATGATTAAGTAGAACTGCTGAACAGACGATTTCAAAGGATGGCTCAAGAAGACACAGTAAGTATTATAATGAAATGTGAAAAGATCTGGAGTTTGAAAATCAAAAGGGAGATCACAGTCTGTCATTTCTCAAGCTGAATGAACTGGAGAAAAAGTCAAGCTTCAAGTTGCATATTGAAAGTTTATAGGAACAAAATAATGAATAATGCAAGAACTATCAAAAGAAGATAGCAAATAGAGCCTGGTGTAACCACTGAGACTATGGCCCCTAGCTGCCTTTCAGGTCTGGAATTGAACCCACAACTGTGGTTTCCAGCCAAACAAAGTACAGGCATGTGAGTTAAACATTTACCTCAAGTAGACACAAGCCCTGGAGAGAACAATCATGGGAGAAGGAAGGGCTGCTTATGCACAGGGAGATAGCTCAGGATGCAGAAGAGTATGAAGGGATGGACACTGGGAGGAGGTAACTATGGGGAGGAAGTGGGAGGGGAGCTGCTACATTGTAAATTTTGGTCAATGACATGAGACAAAGTATATGTGAACTGCTGTATGAAAAGTGAATTTACTCTGTAAATCTTCACCTAAATCCTAATTTAAAAAAAAATAAATTAAATAAATAAAATAAAATAAAAAAAGAAGATAGCAAGAATACAGAGTCACTGTTCCAAAAATAATTCATCGAGGTTCAACCATTTCAGGACACAGCACATGATCAAGAACCAATGGTACAGAAGAAAGAAGTCTGAGCTGCACTTAGGGCACTGGTGAAAAATAAGGCTCCAGGAATTGACAAAATACCAATTGAGATATTTCAACAAACGAATACAATAATGGAAGCACTCACTCATCTATTCCAAGAAATTTGGAAGACAGTTATCTGGCCAACCAACTGGAAGTGATCTCTATAGATGCCCATTCCAAAGAAAAGTGATCCAACAGAATGTGGAAATTATCAAAAAACATCATTAATATCATATGTAAGTAAAATTTTTCTGAAGATAATTCAAAAACAGTTACAGCAATATATCAACTGGGAGCTACCACAAATTCAAGCCAAATTCAATAGTTGTTGTTGTTGTTGTTATGTGCCGTCGAGTCGGCCCCGACTCATAGCGACCCCTCCTTGGGTTTCCAAGGCAGTATCACTACGGAAGTA